GACACCATCATCCTGCTTTCATCTTATAGTCTCAGACTCACTCACATTACTTAGTGTCCAACTCAAATCACTTTCTCTCCACCCCAAAATGACTGTCAATATTCACTTACAGACATCCGAGACTTAGAGGATCTTTGAATTCCCCCAAATTGAATAGTATGTGTACGTACATGTATGCAATTTTGATGGAAGAGGGACTATTACAAGGACTGTTTACAGGCAGGGGAACTATTTCATTGGGTTCTGAAAGTAGTCCATGATCCAAAAAAGGGGTATCTCTCTGGTTCTAGCTCATAACATCATGGCTTTAATTCACACCTCAAATCTTATATTCAGGGCCAATGTTTCTGGTTTTCGTTTAGCTTTCCTTCTTGACTATTATTCAAACTGTTATTCTGTAAATACTTGACTCAGTCTATCTCAGTGCAGACGGTGACCCTGTCATATTTTTCTGTAATGAATTTTATAGTATTCTATAGTTCAAAACGTAAGTATATATGTATATTCATGTAACTATATATAATTTAAACCTTCAGAGCTCTGTTGCTTTTATCTTCCAGGGTTTATGGTACTTGGGGGCTTTCAACTATATGTGTAGCTGGCCTACAAATAAATGAGCACTGTTGGCTTATGCTTATCTGTTTTTTATGTCTTAAATATTGCATGTAAATGTCAATAAAAGATATATAAAACTTAAGCAATACCCTCCAGGATCCTAGCCAATGCCCGATTCATAATGGATGATCAATAGTTATCTGTTGAATAAATTTTTATTCATAGTAGGTTTAGTTGTTTTATCAGGTTGTCATTACACTTAAGATGACACAATATATTCATCTTAGCTGACTGTATACAATGAATGGTTATAGCGGGGTTTACATACCTAGTGTGATTATAATTAAATTATTTGTAATCAGACTTGTTTAAGATAGAGTCTCACTTTGTCACCCAGCCTGGAGTGCAGTAGTGCCATCTCAGCTCACTGCAACCTCTACCTCCTGGGTTCAAGTGATCCTCCCACTTCAGCCTCTTAAAGAGCTGGGACTTCATGCCCAGCTAATTTTTGTTTTTGTTGTTGTATTTTTGGTAAAGATGTGTTTTCACCATGTTGGCCAGGCTGGTCTCAAACTCATGATCTCAAGTGATCCTCCCACCTCAGCCTCCCAAAGTGCTGAGATTAGAGGCATGAGCCACTGTGCCTGGCCTTAGACTCTTTACAGTCATATTTCATATAGTTTTCCTGTCAGTAGGTAAAAGGGGAAAAAATTGCTTCTACTCTGAATCCCAGAGAATAGGAAAGATTATAAAACTAAGACATTTTGTAGACGTTTTTATGTTATTTCATCTGTTAAGAATGTTTAGGTGTTTTGTTTTGGCTATAAAATTTAAACTTCTCTTACACCATTTTCATATGACAAAATTACCTTTTGGGTTGAATGCTGGTATTTGGTTCTACCTACTACTAGTTTGTCTGTATTTCAAACTAACACATACTTATTCAGACTTTTTAAATTCTAGTGTGTCCTAAATTTTCTATGTCTATGGAATTTTCAGCCAATTATTTCACTAATGTGGTAAACTTAATCATTGATATCTGAAGCAGTGGCCATTATATTTGGTCCATTTGCTCACTTACAGCCCAGCACTAATGTTTATTAGTCAAATCAAATCTTAACTTGGGAAACCCTCTTCTTACACTTGGCCAGAGGCTATAATTCACAACTAGTATTTTCACAAACGTGTTCAACTGAAGGCAAGTACTGTGGGAAAATGTAGATGGGCAAAGCAAATCTATCAGGGTGACTGGAAAACTAAGTAAAGATCATATGCTACAGATAAGGGCAGAGAAATGCCATCTGCTTTTCAAAAAAGAAAAAAAAATGCAGGTAGCCTTTGATGAATAGAATATTTCTCTTCAACCTATTTTAACCTTTATATTCTTTTTTTTTTTTTATTTTTTTTTTATTTTTGAGACGGAGTTTCACTCTTGTTGCCCAGGCTGGAGTGCAATGGCACGATCTCGGCTCACCACAACCTCAGCCTCCTGGGTTCAGGCAATTCTCCTGCCTCAGCCTCCTGAGTAGCTGGGATTACAGGCACGCACCACCATGCCCAGCTAATTTTTTGTATTTTTAGTAGAGACGGGGTTTCACCATGTTGACCAGGATGGTCTCGATCTCTTGACCTCGTGATCCACCCGCCTCGGCCTCCCAAAGTGCTGGGATTACAGGCTTGAGCCACCGCACCCGGCCTATATAAAAATACAATTGATTTTTGTAGGCTGTACATCACTAAATTTCAGACACATCTTGGCATCCAGACTAACACACGGTAAAGGACAGGAACATGGCAGATGATCTTTAGTTATACTTACTGTACGGTGGTAGAGCAGGAATGGTAATAGCATCACATGATTACTTTAAAAAATGAATTTCCAAAATAATAATTTAGTAATTTTATGCTACAATTTTGGGTTTTTTTTGGCTAACACCCCTCACCATTACATAATACATTTACAAGATGGGAATGATACTACCAGGCTCACTTTCAGGAGTTGTGTATGTCTTAGTCTAAGAAAAGCCAATATAAAATTAACTGGGCATGGTGGTACATGCCTGTAATCCCAGCTACTTGGGAGGCTGAGGCAGGAGAATCGCTTGAACCCAGGAGGCAGAGGTTGCAGTGAGCCTAAATTGCACCACTGCACTCCAGCCTCGGCAACAAGAGTAAACCTCCATCTCAAAAAAAAAAAGAAAAGAAAAATCAGTTGGGGCCAGGCCCAGTGGTTCACATCTTACATAATCCCAGCACTTTGGGAGGCCGAGGCAGAGGATCGCTTGAGTCTAGGAGTTTGAGACCAGCCTGGGCATTATGGCAAAATCCCATCTCTACAAAAAATACAAACATTAGTCAGGTGTGATCGTACACATCTGTAGTCCTAGTTACTAGGGGGTGGTAGGTGGGAGGTGAGCTGAGGTGGGAGGATTGCTTGAGCCTTAGAGGTTAAGGCTGCAGTGAACTGAGATCACGTCACTGCACTGGAAGCTGGGCAACAGAGTGAGACCCTGTCTCAAAAAATAAATTAAAAAAATAGAATAAGAAAAACCAGTCTGATGCGCTATAGGTTGTACTTAACTGCAAATATCTAACTTGAAAAAATGTAGCTAAAAGTTTTTCATCTTTAATAAAGTCATTTTCTTCCTAAAAATGGATCTAAGGTAGTTTTTTGGTTTTTTCTTTTTAGACAGAGTCCTGCTCTTGTTGCCCAGGCTGGAGTACAATGGTATGATCTCAGCTCACTGCAACCTTTGCCTCCCGGGTTCAAGGGATCTTCCTGCCTCAGCCTCCTGAGTAGCTGGGATTACCAGCAGATGCCACCACAACTGGATAATTTTGTACTTTTGGTAAAGATGGGGTTTCACCATGTTGGCCAGGCTGTTCTTGAACTCCTGACCTCAAGTGATCCGCCTGTCTCTGCCTCCCAAAGTGCTGGGATTACAGGCATGAGCCACCATGCCCTGCCATAATTCTTTTTTAAAAAATAGCTAGAAAATACAGTCTTACCTTCATCTTAAGTATATGAAATACTGTTAGAATATGTTGTATTTCTACTTAGATAACCTCATAACTAAATTATTGCCACAATATAAATAGCCTATAGCCATACAATTAAAAGCATATGAAACATAGCATTTATAAAGAATACTTAGAATGCAGAAAATTTTCAACTTACAAAATAGTTGTTTTCTACATGGCTGTGCAAACTGACATACTGGTACATTGCTACAAAATAATTTTATTATAGCCACAGGCTAACAGCAAAAAATTTCACTAAAATATGTGGTTTGTTTTCTTCCCTTCCTTTATTCTCACCTTTTTTGTTATTGAAAATTGTGTAAGATGATTATTATTCTTGTCAAATAAGATTAAAATCATTTATTTTTTACCCATACAGAAAGGAAATTGGAAGAATTCCTGAAGTAAATGAAGAACAGTTGGAAAAGGAGGTAAACTAGGTTTTGTTTTTGTTTTTCCATCTTGTCCATGTGCTCTCCTCCCGGAGATAAACTAGATATTAAAAGATTTCAGAACTCCACACACACAATAAAAGCCCAGGCCCACATGGCTTCATTGGTGAACGCTATCAAACATTTAAAGAAGAATTAATATCAATTCTTCAGAAACACTTCTAAAAATAGAAGAGGAAGAAACGCTTCCCAATTTAGCCTATAAGGCCAGTATCACTTTGATATCAAAACCAAAAACATCACACAAAAACAGAAAAATACAAACCAGTATTTCCTATGAATATGGATACAAAAACCTCAAAAAAAAATAGCAGACCAAATCTAGCAACATAAAAAAATGATTATACTCCATGACCAAATGTGATGTTACCTCAAGAAAGCAAGGTTAGTTTAACATCCAAAACTCAAATTACTGTAATAAACCATGTCAGTAGAATAAAGGATGAAAACCACATCATCATCTCAAAAGATGCAGGAAAAACGGGCAAAATCTAACATTCTTTCATGACATAAACCCTTAACAAACTAGAAACAAGAAGAAAACTAAGAACTGGGCACAGTGGCTCACACCTGTAATCCCAGCACTTTGGAAGGCCTAGGTGAGAGGATCAATTGAGCCTAGGAGTTGAAGAACAGTCTGGGCAATACAGCGAGACCTACAAAAATATTTAAGTTAGTTGAGTGTGGTGGTGTAGGACTGTAGTCCCAGCCACTCAGAAGGCTGAGGTGGAAGTGTTGCTTGAGCCTGGGAGGCAGAGGTTGCAGTGAGCCGATTTCATCCACTGCACTCCAGCATGGGTAACAAAAATGCCATCTCAAAAATAAAATAAAATAAACTAGGAACAGAAACAAAGCTCCTTAACTGATATAAAACATGTACGAGCCAGGCGCAGTGGCTCACCTCTGTAATCCCAGAACTTTGGGAGGCCAAAGCGGGTGGATCAAGAGGTCAGGAATTCAAGACCAGTCTGGAAATACAAAACTTAGCTGGGTGTGGTGGCGGGTACCCGTAATCCCAGCTACTCAGGAGGCTGAGGCAGGAGAATCGCTTGAAACCAGAAAGCGGACGTTGCAGTGACTTGAGGCCCCGCCACTGCACTCTGGCCTGGGCAACAAGAGCGAAACTCTGTCTAAAACAACAACAACAACATAAAAACATGTACGAAAATTCATGATACTCAATGGTGAAAGGCTAAATATTTCACCCTGAAGATCAAAAAAAAGATGACAAGAATGTACACTCACCATTTCTATTAAACATTATACCAGAGGCGATTAGGCAAGAAAAAGAAATTCTAAAATACAAATTGGAAAGAAAGAAGTAAAACATGTCTGTTTGTAGATAACAGCATCTTATACATAGAAAATTCATAGGAATGTAATTAAAAACTATTAAAAATAATAAACTGTCTGGGCACGGTGGCTCCTGCCTATAATCCCAGCACTTTGGGAGGCTGAGGTAGGCAGATCATGAGGTCAGGAGATGGAGACCATCCTGGCTAACATGGTGAAACCCCATCTCTAATTAAAATGCAAAAAATTAGCCAGGTGTGGTGGTATGTGCCTGTAGTCCCAGCTACTTGGGAGGCTGAGGCAGGAGAATCACTTAAACCCGGGAGGTGGAGGTTGCAGTGAGCTGAGATTGCGGTACTGCACTCCAGGCTGGGTGACAGAGCAAGACTCCATTTCAAAAATAAACAAACAAACAAACTGGTTCAGCAAATCTCAATATCTGAGATCAACATATAAAAATCAATCGTATTTCTATACATTAGCAATGAAGTCAAAATTAAGAACATTCCATTTACAATATCATCAAAAAGAATAAAGTTATTAGAAGCAAATTTAATAAAAGAAGTATAAGATGTATACTGTGGGCTGGACACAGTGGCTCACGCCTGTAATCCAGGCATTTTTGGGAGGCTGGGGTGGATGGATCAATCAAGTACAGGAGTTCCAGACCAGCCCAGGCAATGTGGCAAAACCCTGTCTCTACAAAAAATACAAAAAATAGCCAAGCATGGTGGTACACGCCTATGGTCCCAGCTACTCAGGAGGCTTAGGCAGGAGGATCACTTGAACCTGGGAGACAGAGGTTGCAGTGAACCAAGATTGCACCACTGCACTCCAGCCTGGGTGACAGAGCAAGACCGTCTCAAAAAAAGAAAAAAAGACTGTACTCTGAAGACTACAAAGTATGTTGAAAAGGCCAGGTGCAGTGGCTCATACCTGTAAGTCCAGCACTCTGGGGACTAAGGCAGGGAGATTATTTGAAGTCAGGAGTTCAAGACCAGTGTGGCCAATATGGTGAAACCCTGTCTCTACTAAAAATTAGCCAGCTGTGGTGGCGTATGCCTGTAGTCCCAGCTACTTAAGAGGCTGAGGCAGGAGAATCACTGGAACCCAGGAGGTGGAGGTCGCAGTTCAGGTCAGGCGTAGTGGCTCACGCCTGCAATCCCAGCACTTTGGGAGGCCAAGGTGGGTGGATCACTTGAGGTCAGGAGTTCCAGACCAGCCTGACCAACCTGTCTCTATTGAAAAAATATAAAATTAGTTGGGCGTGGTGGTGCACACCTGTAAACCCAGCTACTTGGGAGGCTGAGGCAGGAGAATCACTTGAAACTGGAAGGCGGAGGTTTCAGTGAGCTGACATCAAACTATTGCACTCCAGTCTGAACAACAAGAGCAAAACTCCATAAAAAAAATCAAATAAATTTTAGTTAATATAGTAAGCATAATCATTCTGAAAAATAAAGAGCTTGTAAAAATGCTCACAACATAGTGAAATAAAAAAACTAAGATATAAAACAATGATGATCCATATTTCCTATATACCTGCTATGGAGAAGATATTTCTTATATATGAAATCTCACCTAATCCTACAATAACCTCTTCAAGAATGTACTATCATCATCCCCATTTAACAGATAAAAGAAATAGAGGCCAGGAAACTTGCCTAGTTTGCATAATTAATAAATTCATGGGACTAGACTTAAACCCAAGTCTCCCTGATTGCAAATTTTGTGTTCTATACCATTATGCTATACAGCTATGTTAGGTTGGATTCAGAAAATGTGGCACATATACAACATGGAATACTAGGCAGCCATAAAAAGAAAGAGACTATGTCCTCTGCAGCAACATTGATGGGGCTGGAGGCCATCATCCTTCACAAATTAGTGCAGGAACAGAAAACCAAATACTGTATGTTCTCACTTATGGGAGTTAAACATTGCGCACACATAGACATAAATATGGAAACAACAGAAACTGTGAACTACTAGAGGGTGAGGAGACGAAGATGGGTAGTGAGTACAATGCTCACTACCTGGGAAACGGAACCCACACTCCTAACCTCAGCATCACACAATATTCCCATGTAACAAATGTGCACATGTACTTCCTGTAACTAAAAGTTGAAATAAAAATAAAATAAAATAATACATTTAAATTGTAAATTATCCCACAATTTTAATAAAGGTGTGTATGTGTGTCTATTTATATATTTAAACATGTACATATACATGTTTAGAAAGACAGGAATATGCAAAATGCTAATGGTGGTAAGTTTTAGGGCTGGTTTCTTTGTGATTATCTGTGTGGTGAACATGTGCTACTTTTGTAATGGAAAAAATAAATAAATGGACCCCAAATATTTTCTTCAGTAAAGAAATTAGGCAAAAAAAGAAAATATACAAATCATTGTGTTTAAAGTTTTCTCAATATTTAAGCTCCACTTTAGAATAATAAATCCTCTTATATATGGAATATAAACTTCGATTAATAAACATAAACTCCTAGTGGCACACACCAGTAACCTCAGCTACTCGAGAGGCTGAGGTTTACATATTATTTATTTATATATAAACCTAACCTGAGAGGCAGAAGTTACTGTGAGCTGAGATTGTGCCACTGCATTCCAGCCTGGGTAACAGCGAGACACTGTCTCAAAAAAATAAAATAAAATAATAAACTTGGCCGGGCGTGGTGGCTCATGCCTGTAATCCCAGCACTTTGGGAGGCCGAGGCGGGTGGATCACAAGGTCAAGAGATCAAGACCATCCTGGTCAACATGGTGAAACCCCGTCTCTACTAAAAATACAAAAAATTAGCTGGGCATGGTGGCACGTGCCTGTAATCCCAACTACTCGGGAGGCTGAGGCAGGAGAATTGCCTGAACCCAGGAGGCGGAGGTTGCGGTGAGCCGAGATTGCGCCATTGCACTCCAGCCTGGGTAACAAGAGTGAAACTCCGTCCCGCCCAAAAAAATAAATAAATAAAGTTTATTATTGCCAGTAATAACAACTGCTAAGTCCTCAAAGTTAACATCTAGCTTATCCTTAAATAAACTGACCTTATTATATTTATCCTTAGCCAACATTTTTTTTTTTTTGCTCCTTTTTTCTTTATAATTTTAGGTTCCACTTTTTAAGGGTTTAGAAAAGCAAGCCAAATTTTTAAAAACATATGGAGATAAAGCAGCATATATTTTAAGAATATATTAGATTTTAAAATATCATTTTCCTGAAAGTTAAATTCCCCAAAGGAACTAATTTCCAAATTTTCTAACACCTTCTCATTACTTCAATGTGATTGCTTCAAATACAGAAAAGCTTTTTATTTCCCCTTGACAAGATCACACTGCTGTGTGCATACAAAGCACGATTAACAAGGTATATTGGTTCAATATTCTAACATTAACTCCAATTCTATCAAAAGGTTCACCCTCTAATATTACAAATCTAGTTTAAACCTCAAGATTTAGTCAACGCCCCTCCCGATTAAAAAAAAAAAATGCCTGGAGTTCATTTCCAATGCTAAGAAACAACACAACACATGGACAACATTGCTTCACAGATACCTACTGCTCACTAAGAAAAATGTACAGCTAAATATAATTTTATGTCATATAATAAACAATAAAAAAATCAGGCTTAGATTTTATGCTGTGCAATAATTCTCTTAACAATTGTTTAGGCCAGGCGCGGTGGCTCAAGCCTGTAATCCCAGCACTTTGGGAGGCCGAGGCGGGTGGATCACAAGGTCAAGAGATCGAGACCATCCTGGTCAATATGGTGAAACTCCATCTCTACTAAAAAAATACAAGACATTAGCTGGGCATGGTGGCACGTGCCTATAATCCCAGCTACTAAG